TTTGGCTGTGGACGCCCTTCAGGACTGCCTTCTTGGCCTTTAATACCTTTGCTTTGGCTTCAGTTTTGGGAGGGGCAGGGGCTTCCTTCTTGGCTTTTGGCGCCATCTTTGTAGAAAGCTATCACATTATTTCTTATTACTGATTCGTAGAGGTTCTTTGTTGTTCTACAGAGCAGTACTTTGTCACTCATGTACATTACAAGTGTTCTCTCCCAGACTCTAACTTACCTATTTTACATTCTTCATTTTTCTTCTTCAAGAATTCCTATTAGATGAATGTTGGTTCCTCTCAATTTGTCTGTTATGGTTCTTAACTAATTTTCTATAATTTTTTTTCCTTACTGCCCTTATTCTGAGTGAATTTCTCATGATTAACTTGCATATATCAGTTTTTTTTCTACCTTGTCTAGTCTAGTAAATATTTCAATAAATATATTTTCCATTTCCAAGATTTATAATTCTGTTTATATCCACCTGCTTCATTCCTGCCTATTTGTTTTTTAATAATTTCTTGTTCTGTTTTAATGTCTGTATTTATTCTTTTAACAATATCAATATGGTTCTTTTTAAATGTTTGACTGTTACATAAAAATACTTCTGGAGTGAATTCAAGTTCCAGTTTTCTTTAGTATTATTTTTAGCCTTCTGTTTCTTTGTATATTTTTAAATTTGTAGACTTGACTTCAAAGGAACATTTTCTGATTTTCTCTCTCCTCTCCCCCAAACTTCCATAGTTCGTATTTCCTCATGTGGTGGAGTTGCTTCTATCTACTTTCTGTTAGTACAGGAACTGGTGGGCACTGGAAATACTGTGAATCCAGACACAAGTCATCAGAATGGCTTGACGTTGATTATTATTCCTGTGTCCATATTCTTCACCTGTGTATGCAGACAGTACTGTATCTCCTGGAAAGGTTCTAAAGAAGATTTTCTTAGCTCCTTTCAAAACAAGACAGTTCTACCTAGTCTTGTCACTAAGCAGAAGATGATCTCTGATCATTACCTCCTAAAGAATTCTATCAGTTACAAATCACTGTGGTGGCTTAGATAGCACTGCAAAAAATAATAAAAATAATAAAAATTAGATGCTACCAGCTCCTACATGGGAGAAAGATGCACAGTGTTCTTCCATGCAATTTACAACCTCAGAAAACCTACTGGAATAGGTTCAACTATGAACTGGTTCTGATTTGACAACACAAAACAACAACTATTCCAATAAGATGCAGTGTTTGAAATGCCTGTTTCTATATTCAGATCTCAACAATCAGAGGCCTCAAAACCATTTATACTTTTAAATTTC